TGGACTAGAAACTTCCTGTGGTTTCTTCCAACCTGAGTTATCTTATGATCCTGTATTTCTACGCCACCCACAGCTTATGGCCATATATGTTGAATAACTGCTGGAGCAGAGGAGTTAACAGCTGCTTATGGCTGCAAGGAGTGGTGTATTAATGTCAGCTCATTGAAGAATACTCACTTTAAAACTAATTTCATTTTTCATTACTAAACAAAGGGAAGAAGAATTTAGCACTTTAAGCATTTGCATAATATAACCATTTTTGTGAATAGGAAGAAGTGCATATTTATTGTGCCACGGCTGTAAGTTTGTGCAATAGATTTTTAGCTTGTGTATGCGTTGTCTGATTTAAAGAGTTATGATGTAAAGAGGCTATTTGATTGGGAATAGTAGAATGTAGGAATTATCTCTCTTCTCCCCTGCAGTCAAGCAAATACTGCACCTTATCTGGCATGTTTTTAGCAAATAAATGTCCGGTGCCAACCAAAATCTTAATTCACAGAATGGCTGGCTTATGAGAGTAGCTGATAACTCACAATTGTATCAGCTCTGAGTAGGAGGCTGATTAGGTAACTTCTTAAATGCCTTTCCAACCTTATATTTATGACCTTTTAGATAAGTATCTGTGACGTATTTCAGTAATTACTTTATAGAAATTCAGGGCTTTTGTAGACTTTTTTGGAAGTACTGGTCATCTTCATAATACAGCTCTTGAAAATAACGAAGTGCTGAATGGAAACAATTACGATGTTCCTGTAAGTCTGTGTTTAATGGCATGCATTAGTTAGGGACTGGTTTGTAAGTTTAGTGGACTTCAGATGTATGCATCTTGTATCTCTCCACATCGGCAGCTTTTATTTGCAAATAGAATAAAATTGAATTGCTCTTGATTTAAGCTATTGTTATTGATTAAGACGAATTTTATAAAATGGAGTGCTCTTTTTTTAATGTCTCTCGTTTCCAGCACTTTTCTATAAAGCATCCCAAAGTGGTTATTTTCAGAGATGCACTAAAGGAGTTGTGGAAGGTCTTTCTAGATCATACCAAGTGTTTTTGCAGTCATTTCTTAAGACAAAGCATTTCTCAAAATTATTTTGGTTTGGATACTTAAAAATATGCAAGAACTGTGTTGGTTTGTCTGTAGGTAAAATAGAACCTTTTTTAGAAGATATTTTTGGGTCATAATTGTTGAGCAGTGGAGTACAAAAGTCAATATGTGTATTTCTAGATATTGAGTAAATGTATTGGGTCAAATACTCTGTTCTGACATTTAAGCAGACAGCTATCAATGCAGAAATCGAGATGAAAAAGTGTGGTAGATGTGATGTAGTTCATAGACCAAATGTGGTTTGCAGTTTTTCAGTCCTTATAAGAATATGCATCAAGCTTTAAAAATACATGTTTTGAAAGGACTTAAATGACAGAATGATACCTGTTCCAAATATTTGCTTGAAAACTTTTGTCCTTTGCTTTATTATGTTCAAGCTGAAAAAAAAAATCTGTTCTGTGATTTGTGCTGATTGCCATATTTGTGTTTCCAGTATACTCCATATTTTACTTAATATTGATTTTCAGGTGGTTATTACTTCATCAGTGTCACATGTTTATGGATGTAAAATCATGTTAATACTTGTCAGGAAACTCAGATAAGCCTGTATGATGTTGGTAATGTCAAATATTTCATCTCTTAAAGATTTAGTGAGTTTATTTTGACTACATATAAACTAAACTTCAGCTCTCACAGTTCTTGATCTTGCTGTTTCGTTTTGTATCGCCTTCTTGAGGTTTCTCTGTACAAGAGTAGAGACTTAAGTGTGAAAACTAATAGGGGATGAGTCTTTCATATTTTCAGTACAAGAATGGTAGTTGACTAGTGAAGGCAGGAGAACTGTGTAGAGAGTACAGTAAGACTCTTCTATTTGCTGTCAGGTAGAGATGGAGATGTCTTACTGTCTTTCATTCTTCACAGGGTTACACATCGTTCTGGAATGATTGCATCTCCTCAGGTTTGCGTGGCTGTATGTTAATCGAATTGGCATTGCGAGGGCGTCTTCAGCTAGAGGCTTGTGGGATGAGGCGCAAAAGTCTGTTAGCAAGAAAGGTAAGTGGAGGAAAATGGTCACATTTACTTTTGTGTAATGCTCCACGTAATACAGTAGCTATAAATTACAACTGGTCGTAAGAAAGACTCTTTTTAAATTTTTTTCTTTACATGGGCATAGGGATTCTGAGTAGTGACCTAAGTTAGATGCACAAAGTTAAAAGTGTTTAAATGACAAGCTGATAAATCTTCCGTACTAGTTCTTTGCTCCTGTTTTTTCACTTGTGTTCCTGCTGCTGTTGGGAACCTTGCACAAATAGTTGGCCATGGCAGCAGTTATTCTGAGAGCCAGTAGCAGCAGTTGTAATCTGCTGAAGGAACTGGGTTTTGCAATGTTGTTGAGACGTGGGCTGAGGCTTGAAAGGAATGGTTAACTGAGAGCCTGCCAGATGTATCCTGCAAGCCACAAGTTTAATTCTGGAGTACGCAGCATTGCAGTTTGTGTTTGCAGTGCATGGAAGGGAAATGATCCTTATAGCGTGGGCCACTGAGAACACAAAACTCTACCTAGTTTTAGCCTGTGACTGGTGTGTTAAATTTGTTGTACTCACTGACCATAAAGACGGGCAAATTTTTAAGGTCCTTTATTGACTTAGACTGAAAATTTGAGGCCTTTGTTACTTTTGCTGCTGGAGTTTTTCCTTAGTACAAAATGTGCAAAGGCACACTGTTGGAAGAATTTTTACTTCATCAGCATTAGAGGATACTTGTAAAATCAGCTTCTTGAAAACATGGTCCAATGTTGTCTATCCACCACAAATGAATTCTCTTTTATGGCACATTTCCCTGTCAATATTATCTTTTGCTAAATTTTTTGAAGGAAGAATTCCCCAACCTTCTTACAGCTTTTTCCTCTTCTGAAGAATCGAACCTATGTTCAGGCAAACAGTTTCTGTTTTTTAGCTTCATTTAAGCATATTCAGCATTGATTGGTTTGCAGCATTTTTTTTTTCTCCAAAGTTTTTGGCTCCTTAGGCATTCAGGAATGTTCTTTAGCAGTTATTTTAATTCTGTGCAAACCTTTCAGTTCCATCTACCTGAAATTTTAACTATGGGGAGTGGTCTTTTCCTTTTTTTTTTAAAGGAAAAATAACTTGTGCATATCTTCAGTAAAGAATACAAGCAAAATTAATATTATCTTTTGCGGTGGTTTGTTTTGTGGCTTGGGGGTTTTTTTGGTTGGTTGGTTAGGGGGGATGTTTTTGTTAAATTTTATCATATGGGTTTGGGGGTGGGCAGGTGTGATTTGTTTCTTCCTCCTCTCCCACCCACCCTTTGTTTAAGGAGATCTAAAAGCCTACCCAGTATTAACAGTTTTGTTCTTTCTGCAGTTGTAAGGCAATAGAGAGATTTCTTTTTGGAGGCAGAAGGGTTCTATGAAAAATGCTTTAACTTAAAATTCACATAAAGATTGGTTTCTACTTAAGTGATTTCTTGCAAATGGAATCCCTAACTGTTGATGTGTGTGAGGTTTTTTTCTCTCCCCCTGTGCCACTTCTCTCAATTTAAAAATCTTTCTCATGAATGATTTGTGTTGGTTTGTACCTTATTTGAAGTTTTGCATTAATGCCGAATTTCAGTCTTGTTTCTGTGTTGGCTAGATTTAAGTGTCTCAACTCTACCAAGGGTCTTCCTTGTCCCCCTTTTGTGAGCTTTGCTCCCCTTGCCCTCAGCTTTCACTGTGAATCAAAGACTGTGTTTACTGGTGGGATGAGCTGTCTAGTTGCATCCAAGGCTGTGATTCAGTGGCAATACTATTTTCTGTAGCTTCTGCCTCTCAAGCTAGTTCTTCCTCCTTGCCCTAGGTCCATCATTGGGTTTTGTGAGAAGGTAAAACCTCCCTAAAGCTTTGATTTGTGAATCAGATCATGTATCTTCAAGCCATGGTTTAAAGACAGGAGTTAAGGCTTCAGTCACTTCAGCCTGTCTTGCCCCTGAAAATGGTAGTCCTGTCTTTGAGAAGAGGTTTACTGGAGTCTCTCCTGGGTTGTTAACTAGTGTCTGTGCAGCCTTGTCAAGTAACTGAAACTGAAAACTGTCTGAAAACTAATTTACGACTTTGATCAGTTTAATTTTTACTTGAATCTTTACTAGTTCTACTTTCTAGATCTTGTCATCAGGTGGTGCACAAGTGAGACTGCTGGCACAAGCAATAACGTGAGAATAAGAAGGTGGCAGAACTAGTTCTTTGGGCAGTGGTATGGATTTATAACCAGCTAACTGTGGCCTTGGTCATACAGCTGACTTAAAAGATTGCTCACTACAATGATCTTTAAGACTTAAATCAGGTGGATCTTTGATGATAATTTTTTGCAGTTTCTAAGACAGAACTTGGAATGGGTCAAAATGCTTTATGCTTGAATGCCACAGACAAGTAAGACTGAGAAACTGGCAGGCAGGACTTGGACATTAGTGAAACTTTGAAAGTCGATATGACGTATTTTATGTTGCAACATCCTTGTGGATTTGGCTTAAGAGTATGTAATCGTTGCATCATTGTGGAGTTCTATCTGCTGGAATCCAATTTTAGAAACAATTTAATGTTGAGGTTTATATATAAATAATTTCTAAGACTAGTGGCTATTGAATATAGAAAATGGTACTCTATGCTGCTTTACAGCCTCAGAAAGCAAATCAAATCATTAGAGTTCTTAAAAACAAAAGAAGTTCCAACAAATCATTGGTGGATTAGCTTCAGTACTTTATAGCTGGTAATTCTGAGTGATTCATGCACAAGTGAATTTTTGTATTAAAAGTAAATAATGACGTTTACTTAAAAATCAATGCAAGAAGTGCTTAATCTTTAGCATTGCGTAATTGCAAAGCTGCATTCTGGAAAATGCAAATTAAATATTCTGTATAATTGGAACTTCCTCAGAAGTTGGATACAAGGCCAATCTAGTACCTGATAAATCAATGAAAAATTGGAATAAAGAAAGATTTTATGCAATAAGGCTAAGGACCATCATCTCTGAAGAACCAGGATCTTAGCTTCCTTCGCTACCTTAGCTCCTCTATTAAAGAGAGGAAAAAAATTCCCACTTGTGGATGCTTAATCTTCTGTGATAATTCAGTTCACAAGATCCCCAATCCGCTCAACTTCTCACTTGTCTTTTGCTGTTACGACTCTGAAGAGAGTTAGCCAAGAAGCCTTCATGAATAAATCCTTCAAGAAAGAGCAGATTTGTGAAGATAGAGGGGTGGCTGGGTTTCTGGTGTTGCCTGTTTCCATATGCTGGGAAGGGGAGGGGAAGAGAAATATCATGGAAGCGTGAAACAAAATACTTTTGAGGGCAGGATAATCAGAAGAATCTGTGTAGTCAATATTCAGTGTAGCAGAGAAGTGAGAAGAAACAGTGCTGTATGCCTGGCTGCAGAGAATGGCAAACCTGGAAACAGAATTGCTATCCATTGTGGCTTCACAAGAGAAGAGATTATGGAGTCCTGACTGAGTTAAATGGAGAAGTCTATGCTCCTTTCAGCTCTTTTCTCTTAATACCTGTTATGTTTAGGCTCGTACTGTCATGGTGCATCATATTCAGGCTAACTTCTTAAACTTCTTTGCAGTGGTAGAAGAAAGTAGCTTAACCATTAGTAAGCAAGGAAAGCTGTTTTCTAAACTTAAAAAAAACCTACCTTATGTATATCCTAGACTTAAAAGCATTTTTTTTCATCTCTTCAGTGAGGTTTATTTGGTTCTGGGTTTTTTTGTAATAAGGCAGGTCAAAAAGATGACTTCACATCTTACCTGTTAAAATGAGATGGTGAGTAGCAGGCTACCAGCTGCAGCAGGCTGGAGTGAACCAGTGAAGCTAATCATATGGAACACTTCAAAGAAACTAAAATACTGCTGGAATGTCAGTTTTAAAAAGAAGTAAAGATAAATAAGTTGGGTGTTTTTAGGCTAATTATTAAAGGAATTTCTGAAAGGTGGCCATTAATAGCTGCAACCTAGCAGCTTAAAAGCCCAGCTTGAAGTATGCTGCTGTATAATTAAAGAACAGAAACTTCCAAAAATTAAGAATGTTGATACAAAACTGGAAGATATGCAATATAATTATGTGTGGTTAATAAAGGTTTTGAGTGATGCTGTGGTACAAGTTTGTAAATCAGAAAGAAATATGCATTGTTCTGTGTTTAGTTTCAAATAGCAATTGTCTGGATTAAAATGTAGTTTTAATGTCCAAGTTTAATGGTTGGCGTGATCTCCAGCTCCCAAAAATGGAAACCTGGATAGTATCTCAAGAGACCATTTAATCTTGATGCAGTAACAAATAATGAGGTTTCTCTGGTCCCTCCCTGGCAGATGTTTAGTCTTAAAATTCTCCACTGAATGCAATTGAGCAGCTCCCTGGGTGTTTAATTTGTCAGTTGAAGTTTTTGACAATAAATTCTGCATCTTCTATATTTCCAGAATAAACTGGTGTATTTTTATTTTTCCCAAAGTAGGCACCCTAAACTACTGTTTCATAACGCTCTTTGTGAAATATCTTACGTGCTTTCTTTTCAGATCTAAACAAAGTTTGTTCTTTTTAGCCTTGCATTGCGGACTGGTACATTCTTGCTAATTTTATTAAAAATCTTGATTTCTATGCTTTATATATACCATCTAAATAGAAAACAGTATTCCAGCTATGACCTGTTAGGTATTCACAAAGATCTCTCCAGTAATTTACCTTTTCTTTTCATCTCATTGACTTTGTACACACCTCTAGTTTGGGATCATCTTGCCAGTATTGAAGTTGTCTTACCATTGCAGCTCATTTCAGTGTCGTCTACAGGCCCTGTGAAAGTGTATGGTATTCCTCTATTGTTATAAGGTTTATTAGAACTATGGAACAGACCTAAACTTGAGGTGTATTTCAATAGGACACTTAAAGCTTTTCCAGGACACTTTCTGACTGTTGTGAAGCTTTATGAGAAATAAAAGCTTTGACTTGCTGCTTTTCTTGTATATGTGTTAATTGTGTTGGTGTTACTTTTTCTGTCAATTGCCTCTTACCTTTTTACCTGATGTGTTTGAAGTGCTGACTTGTAAAGCTATTAAAATTGACAGTTTTAATTGTTATTTTCATAAACCTAGCTGTGAAACTGTAGTTATTCCTTTCCTAAAGGAAGATAGATTTTTATTGCTATTTTGTTTTTATTCAAGCATATTGACTTGGGTTGGTTTAATCTGTATGTTTTTGTTTGATGCTCTTGTTTTTCTAACCAGAAAAAATAAGAATTTGTTCATGGTTTATATAACTGCTGGTACTAGTAAATTCTTAAATTTTGTAATGTTACTATGAATGATTTTGTTCTTGTTCTGCTGCCCTCTCTTGAGGGAAGAACTCATAATGTTAGAAGTTACTCAATAACAAACTTTAATGATACTGCATTTATTATTACATATTAAGGGATTTGTTATTACACATATATTGCCTAAGATGTGTGTTAACTGTTAGTGAATGGAACATAGATGGTCAACATGTTCTTCAAAGCTGTAAAACTTGTCTTGAACCTATTTTTATCCTTCAATATATGGAAGAAGAAAACCAGTTTTCCTGCTCTTTCAGTTTGTAATTGATTTCCTACTTTCACGTGGTCTAATTGTTTAACTGCAGTATTTTGAATAAATTGCCTTGAAGCAGTAAAATTGGCTTCCATCAGAGTAATTTAACTCTGGAATATACTTTGTTTCGGGGAGGAAGCAAAGGACCTGGCCGGGTTAGTGGACTGACCTCCTTAAAAAATGAGGTATTAAGCATGTTACTAATACTATCATTTTAGTCAATTAAGATTAATTTAAGTTATAGATAAACTAAGACTTAACACAGCTTTGTAATTAAAATCCTGGATAGATTTTTTTTTGTTTAACAACGAGGTATTTTTTTAAACTTGCATATTCTTAGAGATGGTTCCTTATTTTTGTAGAATTTCCTTGGTTTAGGTAACAGGTAGGTTTTTCCAGTTTTTATTGGTGGATGTTTATGGTACATGAATTCAACCAAAATACTGACTGCGTTTTATTCTGTCCTAGGTGATTTGCAAGTCAGATGCTCCTACAGGAGATGTTCTGCTTGATGAAGCTCTGAAACACATAAGAGAAACCCAACCTCCTGAAACAGTACAAAATTGGATTGAGCTGCTTAGTGGTAAGCCTTGGACATAATGTATTTGCTTTTTTCCCCCCAATAAAGCTAATTATCTGGCATCACTAGAGATTATATTGTAAGTTTTTTGGGGAGAAAGTATGCAAAAAAGTTAATTAGTCGGTCCTCTGGGGTAGTCTCTTGTTGATTGTAGCCTTTAATCAAATGTAAGTAACTTGCTTTTGACTTAACTTTGTACAGAAGGGGTATAGTTGGAAGTGTCAGAGGACATCTCAACTCTGGCAGAAGCTCTTTCTGCTGACTCTAAAGTAAATCAGGACTGCACTCTGGAGATATAACTGCCTTTCTCTGTAATGGGAAATGAGGGTTGGTGGAAGTCTGGAGTGTAGGTGTATGGATTCAGTATTCATTTGATAAAAAGAGTTCAGGAGCTCACTGCTCAAGATGTAAAAATTGACGATAATTTGGCCATTAATCATAAAGAAACAATAAACAGTCAGAAGTTCTATTTTTCCATTAACTGGGGAAATGTAATAAATATTTTCAAATGTTAGATACTTCTTGTTCAAAGCAAAGTCTTCAAGATGAGTATTTTGCAGACAGCTCTTCCTGTGAAGCTAGTAAGTTATTGCCAAAAAAAAAAAAGAAATGACAATTAGATTTCATCTTTACAATTGCAGTTAATGTTTTTCATATACCTTGCCAAGAGTTTTATCCTCAGGATGCATAAATCAAGCTGAAATTAACAATGACCATCGTTTAACATGTAGTGTTTTTATTGTTTTCGTATTTTTTTTTCCCTGTAGCCAGAATTTATCACCAGGGTTTGTTTTTACAAAACACATAAAATGCAGCTTCTCTGGAGTAGATCAGAGCTGTACTTCAATTGCGCAAACAGTGCAGGAAAAATCCTCGCCATTTTGTCAACAACATGACTCTGGGAGATAAGAGGCAATGAGACTTGAAGCTCTCTGAATCTATTTGTTACTTGTAACAACCATGAGTAGGAGTTTCAATAATGAGCAAAATCTCACTAGCTTTCTCTGCTGCCTTGTTTTCATTATGTTCTTCCCATTTGTCCTGTACCACCTGCAATAGCCTTCCTTGCACATCAGTTCATATTCCTGTCCTTGCCATCCCTCCCCTCTTGCTCCTAAACTGTTGGGCAGAGGTGGGAGAGAGGAGAACAAACCAGCCCTGGTCAATAGGGGACGTGGCTGCTGTACAGCCTTGCAGTTCAGTTCTTGCTCAGCTCTCCTTCACTTTTACAGCCTGCAAAAATAATTCATTTTTCTTGTCCTAAATATATAATTCGTGCTGTCATTTCACCTTCTCTTCCAGTGCAGAGCACATCAAGTTTGTACTGATTCAGAAAAGGTCAACTAATGAATGAACAATGTTATAGGTTTTCTTTGAGCTAAGATAAGGTTTTCCTGACCCTGTGGAGCTTTGGCTCTGGGAAGATAGTTATCAGTGCTGTGGCTAAGACTTGGATCGATCATTTTTTACTTGCACATATTAATGACTAGTTCTTGGACAGCATTTCCCTTGGCTTAGAGGAATGCCCTTCGAAGAAAAATATTTTGTGGGGTTTTTTTGTTATGGGTGGTTTTTTTAATAAATTCTTTTAGAATTTTGCTTTTGAGCCTGATCCTGGAAAATAGCTACTCTATCCATAATATCAGCAATGTGAAGAATGGTGCTTGATGTTACAGTACATATGAGTTCTAAGCCATCATGGAAACATCTATATTGACGTGTAAGGTGATGTTTGCCAGGCTGATGTTGTTTATAAGATAGCCTCTAAGGGAAGCAAGTGTAGGGAGTACAGAAAGTGTCAGGTCCTCCTGTAGATGTAAGCAAGTGTCTGTGTAATTGAGGAGACTGGTCACAAGGTGTCACCACACTACTGATTTTTGTTACAGTATAGCCACATCCACCTAATAAATGCAGAGAAATCTAGGAAATAGCCTTTTCCCTGTGAAATGCTGTAAGGAGACTATTCTTTTGTGTGTGATAGCTTCATTCATGGTCAAGCTGGGGAATTGCATTCAGCAATGTGTGGGACCTGTAGGGATTTGTGTAGTTCAGGCCTGGGTGGGTTTTCAGCCTTTCACTATGCAGCTGGTGTCACCCCATGTTTCAGTTGTTGTTTACTTAATTTGGCTACTAGTTGGATACAGTTTATGTATCTCCATCACAGTGGGAGAAACCTTAAAGTCATTTGTAGTTTGTGTTATTATTGCTATTGTATGTTAACCAGTGAATTTTTAAAAAGCTTTCTGTTATAGAAACAAATTGATACAGTAGTTCTGTGTCACTTACAGGAAACCCCTATCTATGTAAGAAATACTTAATGCTGTTTCTTCTCTCGCCTCCTCAAACACATAGACTCTTTTATATTGGGAGGGGATTTTAATACTTATGATAAATACTTAGGTAGTTTTAGCTTATTAAATAAACTCTTTGGTAAAGGTGCATTTCTCAGTGCTTAACAATTTTAGCTTTATCAGTAGCTGTTGATGCTGATGCTGATTTTTGTGCTTTTTGAATTCCGTCCTCTATGCACACAGAGTCACAGACACAAGGGCACACTTCTGCCTCAAAAAACGTTGGAAGTAATTTTTATAGAAACATTAAAGCCCAGTGTGTGCTCTTGTGTACACACACACATGCAGACAGTGCATGATCATTGCTTCACCTGGTGGGGTTAGGAAGGGAGAGAAGAATGAAAACGTGAAGAAATAGAGAAATGCACAGGGTGCATGTGCGTTAGCTTATCTCTGTGGCAGAAGGAAAGGCAATGATGCTTCTTCTAGTCTCTGAAATGGTAAAAGGCTGTAAACAGGCAAATGGACAAGATTGGAGGAGCTGCCTATTTTTATTATTAAAAATAGTAATATTCACTCTTTCTTGATGATTTTTTTTTTCTTCAGTACAAGACTACTTATTTACTGTGTCTTTAATCAAGACATGGCTTAGCTAGCATTTCTTCCAAACTTCAAATGTACACAGAAGCTCCTCCAAGGAGGCTTTCGTGGTCTCTGTCTGTATGCCTATATCTGGGTAGGTCAGAGATCACGGGAATGCTGATGTTAGCACAACAGCTTAGTGTAGTAGTCAACTATACGAATTTGACAGCTCATTCTGCACCACAGAGTGGGGAAATTGCTGTAATAGTACAGCCTAAACTTTGCCTGACTGTTGGGTTTTTTCCTTGCTTTTTTAGGTGAAACATGGAACCCATTGAAGTTGCACTACCAGCTACGAAACGTTCGTGAACGGTTAGCTAAAAATCTAGTGGAAAAAGGTGTACTGACAACAGAGAAACAGAACTTCCTTCTTTTTGACATGACTACTCACCCTCTCACCAACAACAATATCAAACAGCGTCTCATCAAGAAGGTTCAAGAAGCAGTTCTTGACAAATGGGTGAATGACCCTCATCGCATGGACAAGCGCTTGCTGGCACTTGTTTATTTAGCTCATGCTTCAGATGTTCTGGAGAACGCTTTTGCCCCCCTTCTGGATGAGCAGTATGATTTAGCCACAAAGAGAGTGCGGCAGCTTCTGGATTTAGACCCTGAGGTTGAATGTATGAAAGCCAACACAAATGAGGTTCTGTGGGCTGTTGTAGCAGCTTTCACAAAATAACTGCATTCAGACTGAAGTGTTCTCTCTTCTTTCATGTAAACCAGTTGTTTCTCTTCTATTGACTATTCATGTTTTCTGTAATTTGTACCTTCTCACATGATGAATCAGCTCTAGTTTAATGGGAACTATAAGTGGTGTATTCCCTCCTTCTCTGTGTAGCTGTATACAGGATTCTGCTGGTACAAGAGACCTTCCTGTTTAAAAACAACAGAAAAAGGTTTTCCTGCCATATTGGCATTCCATTTCGTATTCAGTTTGAGTTACCTGAAATACTATGTTTAATCTGTTTTTCATCTTATTGTTATTGAAGTGATTTAACATGGAAAGCACCTCAAGGAGGAAATGTGCATGCAGTTGGATCACTAGTCTCAGCTGACACAGATGTGTGCATGCATCAATACTTCTGCAGAACGATTAAAAAGGGCCTTTTTAAATCACCAAAGCTCCATGTTGATGTGTCTATCAGGACATTTTATATGCAGATGTTGTTTCAATTATATCTAACAAAATTACTTTAAAAGCAGAAATGCCATTAAGCAGCTTTGTCAATAGTTCCTGTAAAATGCCCCACAAATTTTACTTTTCATGCAAGTCTCTTGTGTACTTATATTTTCATTAGGATGATAGCTGAGTCATAAGGCTAGTATAGAAAGGTCCAATTGTTTCATAAACAGTTTGGGGATGGGATACATTCCATTATATTGTATATATAGTTCAAATTGTATATTAACAACTGCCCCATCTTAGTATTTTGCAAGATCTACTTAGTTGTACACCTGGTGCCCCTTATTTGCTGTCATCCGTTGCCATTTGCTGGAAAGAAAGGCCCCCTGTAAAGAGCATGTATGTGAAAGCTGTTTGTTTCCAGTGTCTACGGAGTTTGCCATCCAGGTATTCTCAGTCTATGCATTGCCTTTGGTAATTAGTGTATGTAAAGAGACCACTTTCTATCATTGTACTTTTCTGGGTTTTTTTCCCCCTCCTGTATGGAAGAGACTTGTGACCAGTACAGTTCTTGAGTGCAGTTTTCAATTTCATACACAAATTAATGTTTGTCTCTTAAACCTCATAATCTATTTTACACTTTTTAAAGTCAGCCTTAGCAGGTGTTGCATGTAAATGATTAGCAAGTAATGACTGCAGTTCAGATGATAAAGATTTCTGTAATGGGACCTTCTGCTATATTTTGATTTTTTTTATATACAATTATGCTGATTAGCAGACTATTGTAAAAAAATATATAAAACTTTGGCTTTTTAAAATTTATGGCCTCTTTGCCATTGCTTGTTATCTCCCATTGGTTTCACAGTGTAAATATTATGCATTGAAAAAATTAAGCATTGACTTACTATTTTTTCCTCATAACAACGCGGATTTATAGTGGGGCTTACAGGTGTTTAGAAACTTTTTTGGTTAATATTCAGAGCAAGAATACTAGATGGTGTATAACTGTAGAGTTGAAATTTAAGGGATCC